ACAGGCGCCCGCCACAACGCCCGGCCATTTTTTGGTTGCAGCCGTCATTGTTGTTTGGCGGGTCCAGGCTGGGGATTCGAACCCGCCACCCTAGGTGTACGTGGCTGGCGCCTTAGCCTGCTGAGCTATAGGCGCCGAGCCTCAACCATCACTTCTAAGGGAAGCCTTCCTTGATTCCCTCACGTCCTCATTAGGTCAATTTTCCTGTATTACCCTTAGCAACCTAATATCCTCACCCCTCAGGCTCCCTGTGGTCGCTTCAGCACATAGGGGAGATGAACATGGATCTCTCAGCATACATGCAGTTGTTTCACACATATTTATAAAATATGTGCAAATTCCTTACTGGAATAAAATCTCTATGAGGGAAAAAAACTGGGCAAAAGATCTGGAATAGACATTTCTCCAAAGGAAATATACAAATAGCAAAAAAAAACAGAGGACAAGATGCTTAGCATCATTAATCATCAGGAAAATGCAAATGAAAACTACAATAAGCCATTTCACATCCACTAAATGGTCATAATCAAAAACAGATAACAACAAGTGCTAGTAAGTATGTAGAGAAACTGGAACCCTCATACACTGCTGGTGGGATTGTAAACTGGTGTGGCCACCTTGAAAATGTTGAATACAGGCCAGTGGAGTGGCTCACATCTGTAATCCTAACACTCTGGAAGGGGGAGGTGGGAGGATTGATTAAGGCCAGGAGTTTGAAATCAGCTTGAGCAAAGTGAGATCCCACCTCTACAAAAAATAGAAAAATTCCCCAGGTGTGGTGGTGCATGCCTGTAATCCCAGCTACTTGGGAGGCTGAGGCAGGAGCGTCACTTGAGCCCAGGAGTTGGAAGTTGCAGTGAGCTATGATGATATCACTGCATTCTAGCCCAGGAGACAGAGCAATACCCAGTCTCAAAAAAAAAAAAAAAAAAAAAAGCTAAATAAAAAGATTAAATACAGAGTGTTACCATATGACCTAGCAATTCCACTTCTAAGTATATAACCAAAAGAAATGAAAAAGATGTGTTAACACAAAAACTTGTATACAAATGTTCATAGCAGCATTAGTCAAAAAATGTAAACATCCCAAATGTCCATTAACTGAGGAGTGGATAAATAAACATGGTGTATCCATATAATGGGATATAATTTGGCCATTAAAAGAGTAAACTACTGGGACATGCTACAACTTGGATGAACCTTGGAGATATTATGCTAAGTAACAAAAGCTCATTCTGAAAGACCATGTGTAGCATGACTCCAGCATTCAGAACAGGCAAATCCATGGATGATAAGTAGATTACTGGCTATATAGTACTGAGAGGTTTGGGAAAATTTGAAAGTGATGTCTAAAAAGCATGGGGTTTCTTTTGCACGGATGATGAAAATGTTCTAATATTGATTGTAACAATAGTTACACAACTCTGTCAATATGCCAGAAACTACTAAATTGTATACTTTAAGTGGGTGAGTTATATCCCAATAAATTAAATCTCACTAAACATATTACCAAAAAAAAGTTTATACAATAAAAATTAAAATCTCCTATTTTAATTGCTGCCCATACTGCTACTCAGAGGTAACATCCATATATCAATAAATATATACTGTTCTATGGGCAGGCTCAGTGGCTCATGCCTGTAAATCCTACACTCTGGGAGGCTGAGGTAGGAGGGTTGCTTGAGCTTAGGAGTTTGAGACCAGCCTGAGCAAGACCAAGACCTTGTCCCTACTTAAAATAGAAAAACTAGCTGGACGCAGTGGCCAGAGCCTATAGTTCCAGCTACTGAAGAGGCTGAAGCAGGTGGATCACTTGAGCCCAAGAGTTTGAGGCTATAATTAGCTATGACACCATGGTACTCTACCCAGGGCAACAGAGTGAGACTCCATCTCAAAAAAAAAAAAAAAAAAGTAATAAATACATATTACTATTCTAATAATAAAAATAGGTCATAATGTCTAGTCTATACTGTAACTTGCAATATATATTTAATATATATAGTGGAAATATTTTGATGTCAGTATATATCTATATTCTTACCTTATTCTTTTAAATGGCTATACAGTTTTCTAGTAATAATAATTAACAATAACAAAAATGGCAATAGTATTAATATTTTATAAGGTATCTATGTGCCAGGAGCAGTTTCTAAGAGGCTTACCTATACTAATTCATTTAATCCTTAAAACAACCCTATGTGGCAAGTTCCGTATTATGCCCATTTTACATAGGAAGAAACAAGACACACAGATATATCATAACTTACTTTATCTACTGATGGATTTTTTTTTTCTTTATGAGACAGAGTCTCAAGCTGTTGCCCTGGGTTGAGTACCGTGGCATTGTAGCTCATAGCAACCTCCAATTCAGGCTCAAGCGATCCTCTTGCCTCAGTTTTTCTATTTTTAGTAGAGATGGGGTCTTGTTTTTTCTCAGGCTGGTCTCAATCTCACGAGCTCAAGCAATCTATCTACCTCAGCCTCCCAAAATGCTAGGATTATAGATGTGAGCTACCGTGCCCGGCTACTGATGGACATTTACATTTTTTTAAATTTTACACTTTGTTCCAAGAAATGTTTTCATGCATATAATTCCATGCACTTGTGGTGATGGTTTATAGCTCGAATTCTTTTTTTTTTTTTTTTTTTTGAGACAGAGCCTCAAGCTGTCCCCCTGGGTAGAGTGCTGTGGCATCACAGCTCACAGCAACCTCCAACTCCTGGGCTCAAGTGAGTCTCCTGCCTCAGCCTCCCAAGTAGCTGGGACCACAGGCACCCGCCACAACGCCCGGCTATATTTTGGTTGCAGCCGTCATTGTTATTTGGCGGGCCCAGGCTGGATTTGAACCCGCCACCTTAGGTGTATGTGGCTGGTGCCTTAGCCACTTGAGCCACAGGCGCCGGACCTATAGCTCGAATTCTTAGCAGAACTCTGAAGCAGTAGACAGATAAGTGTAGAAACTACAGCAGTCACACATCCAGCTGTACCCTCTACCACCGCTTCCTCGTCTTCTTTAGCTCCCCTGCACAGACCCTCCCAGCCCACAACCACCTCCCTGTGGTGTTGCTTGGGTCTCCCTCAGCAGCTCAGTCCTGCCCCTTAGAAACCAGCAGAGGCTCTGAGAGCAGCCCAGTGTCCTGGCCCCACAGGTGGGCATGGAGCTCAGGAAAGACACAAAGAGTACATTCAGCAAGGTGAGCCCAAACAACCCTCTTGAAGGGGACAGATGGGCCCTGCTCCACCACCCTAGAACCCTTCACTCACTCACCTCAGCCTCGGCCATAATGATCTGCTGCTCCAGGTCCTCGGGGACCATTTTCCCTCTGAAAAAGAAAATCCAGTCAGTAGAGAAGTGATAAGTTTACTAGTCCAGGAGGCACTGAAAAGCCTATCGAGGCCAGGTGAGGTGGCTCACACCTGTAATCGTAGTACTTTGGGAGGCCAAGGTAGGTAGATTGCTTTAGCTCAGGAGTTTGAGACCAGTCTAAGCAAGAGTGAGACCCCCATCTCTAAAAAAACAGCTGGGCATTGTGGTGGGCACCTGTAGTCCCAGCTACTTGGGAGGCTGAGGCAAGAGAATCACTTGAGCCCAGGAGTTTGAAGTTGCTATAAGCTATAACACCACAGCACTCTACTGAGGGTTGATAGAATAAGACTCTATCTCAAAAAAGAAAAAAAGCCTGTGAAAGCAGGGCAAGTGGGGCTGGCAATGCAGAGGCCACAGTGCTGGTTTCTCCCTAAGAGGGATGAGAGAGCTCTCAGGGCCAGGAGCGGGAGACTCTGGCAGGTCCCAGGCACAGCAATTCTCCAGGGACGGTGAGGACAGAGAAGTCCACAGGGGTATGCGCCTAAGGCTGGCACGTTCTGGCAGCAGGAAGGTACACTGTGCCAAGCTGGGTCAGGGCCATGTGGACAGAACTACTTTCACCTCTCATCAGTCTTGACCACTCGAACACTGTCAGTGCCAAGTCCCAAAAAGGCAGCTCCCTTCTTGATGGAGTAGTGACACTGTAAAGAAAGGCAGAAGTCAGGTTAGCACGACTTGGGGTCATGCTTAGCAGGCAGGAGGTTGTAGAGGAGAGAGATGGGTGAAAGGCAAGTGTGAGTCTCCCTAGATGGGATCCTACAGACCAGGGCTTCTCAAATGTCCCCGGCATATAGATCACCTGGGGGTCTGCTGGTTCAGACTCAGTGCTTCTGGGGTTAGGCCTGAGATTCTGCATGTCTAACAAGCTCCCAGGTCATATCAATGCTGCTGGTCCACAGGCCACACTCTGAGCAGGAGTATGGACCCCATCCACTGTGCCCCTTGTCCTTACTCCTGCCCCCAAATAGAAGGTAGAGGGAACAGGAGTATTTACTTGGAAGAGAGGAGGGCAGGGCAGACAGAGGAGGTGAAAGGTCTCTGCCTTAGCTGACTAGAGGTAAGGATCAGAAGCCCAGGGTGGTTCTGTGCCCCTTCCTACCTCCTTTGAAGCGAAGAGGGCCAGGGGCGGCAGTGCCCGGAGGCCCCGCTGCTTGCAATCTGGGAAGCGCTGGTAGCGGGCCAGGTTTATAGCATACATGTTGGAGACCGAGCCACCTGTGGCAGGAAGGGCGTGTGGCAAGAGAATGGGCACCAGGTCAAGACTGGAGCTTACCTCCCCTGACCTTTTCATCAGAAGAACTGCCACTAGAGGCAGTGGTGATTGACTCTCACACCACGAATTCTCCAGGAGCAGCAGATGGACCTGACTGCCCCCTCCATACCCTGGGCTGCACCCAGGGGACAGCTGCTATCTGGAGAGAGCATGGACCAAGGTACTGATCCAAGGACGGCTGCCAAGCATGAGGATAATGGGACTGGCCAGCCCTTCCTGGGCTGGCATGGACCCAGGTAGAAAGGAAACAAAGAGGAATCACCCCTTCCTGCTAGCTGCTTAGGGCAAGAGAATGATGGGGCACCCTTAAAAAGGCTGAAGTGGGCCCCTCCTTCTTACATACCTGGGCAGAAGACCCCATCCCCAGAACTCCAGCCCACCAGGGCCCGGAGTTTCTTCAGCACCTCCTCTTCCATGAGTACAAACACAGGGGCAATTTCATATGTGTACCTGCCAGAGAGGGAATGACGAGAAAAGGAAAAGATGGAGAGGGACTACCAGGGACAGCCCTTAGCCAGCAGAGGAGGTAGAGAAAGGAGGCGCTCCAAATGGGAGAAGGAAGTAGTGGAAGAGAACAAGTTGGTGACAGAGAATCAGGAAAGCAAGAATGAAACTGGGGCCAGGAATGGGAGGCTTGGAGGATGGGGCTGAAGGATGCCAGGAAACACTCTGCCAATGGAGATTCCCAGGAAGCGATCCTCCCTTGTCTACCCCAGCAAACCTAAACTCTCTGTGGGGGGCCGGGATGGCTCACTGGCTGGTGTTGAGGGTCTCAGTGATAATGCGCCCGGCCAGAGCGTGAGCATCCAGCCCTGAGAAGAGCTGGTTGAAGAACCGGGGGTGACCTGGAGAAGGGGAGCGGGGCAGGGAGCTCAGAGTGGAGCGGGGTGCAGACTCCGGAGACTCCCCCCACCAGAACCCAGGACACACCAGTCTTGACGCTGTAGTGGATCACAGCCCGGCACCGCTCCAGGATCTGCTCCTGGGACTCCCCCTGGCTCCGCAACTCCAAATCCAGCAACTGCTTCAACTCCTCTGGCTCCTTCCACTCGCAGACCTAAGAGGGGTAGTAGGGAGGCATCTGTACGCTGGCTGTCCAAACCACATCTCCAGACCAAGGCATAGCCAAATTGCACTTAAAACAACTTAGGGATATGTTCAAAGTGACGGTAAACAAACACAGAAAGACCTAACACATAACACCTGAGACACCCAGGGGGATGGTGATGAATTCTGGGGAGAAGCCTTACCAAAGGAGGAAAGTTTTGAGCTGGATTTGGAAAGAAGAAAAGTTTAAGTGTGGTGGGCAGAAGATAGGAGAAAGGACTCACCTTCTCGGAGGCACAGGTTCCTTTACGAATGGCCTCATCAACAACAATCCCAAACACCTCCCGGAGCAAGGCTTCCACAGCCACAGCGTCCCCATCAAGGGCAGGGTGTGGTTTTGAATCAGCCATCAGAATAAAATCTGTGAGTAGAGCAAGAGTTATTCCCTACCCAGCCCTGTATCTTGCCTGGACTTAACCAGCAAGAGCCTCTACTCTGTAGTGGGCCAAGACTCAGTCCCAGACATCCAGGCAGTGACAGACAGGGCAAGTGAGGGCATCTAAGCAGAAAGCCAGTGGAAAGAGGTGGAAGAGAAAAAGGCAGTCAGTGCTAAGCAGGGGACTCCAGGAGCCACTGCCCACCTAAGGCAAAGACGAGAGGCCGACCTTCGGCGTGGGCAGCCCAGGAGAGCTAGAGGCAACTGCACAGTTAGCTTCTCAGAAGAGCAGGACCAAGGTGGCAGAGAAGTGAGGCAAATGCAGCAGTCTCGTGGTCATGACATAAGTCTCATGACCCTTGCCCTAAAGAGAATGTGATAGATTTGGGGTAGGAACAGCAGGTTGAGGTAAATTCCCTGTATAATCATTAGCTGGCCTAAAAGGTGGGGAGAGGAGATGAAAGGCAAAAAGCAAACGGCAGGATTGAGAGAAGCAGGCAGCCAGCATGGAAGAGGCGCCTCCCACTGTGTGAACCCAAGCCCAGAGTGGGGGTGTGGGAGGGGACACTGGCAGTTTCCTGGAGACAGAGGGGGAGGGAGCCTGGGGCAGAGGAGGTGAAATGGCTTAGTCCGTCTCTTTTGTTTCCATCCCAGCCCCCTTTCCTAGAGCAAGAAGGAAAGTAGGTTATGCTGAGGAAGCATTTGTTAAATAAGCACAATCCTGTCCCTTCCAGGCTGGGAGTTTTCCTTAGAGTGAGCACCAGCTCTGTGCTGGGGACCGAAAAAGCCCCTGCCCACGGGGAGGACACAGACCAAGGGCATGGCTGGAAGCTGCTCCTCTGTGTAGTCAGAATTCTGAAAGGGAGGTAAGTGGAGGCTGAAGACTGGAGAAGGCCTGCGGAGGAGGGAGCTAAATTCTGAAAGTGGGCAGGAGAAATGGCATGGGTGACTGGGGGGTGGGGGAGGAAAGCGAAAGCCATGAGCTATGGAGGGAATGAGTAGGGCTCCTGCCAGGTCAGTGAAGGCACTGGCCAGCTGGGGTGCAGAGCAAAGGGAGGTGGGCAGAGCTGCATGAGGTTGTGGAGTCTCCACTGCAGCCAAAGCAAGGAATCTGAATTTTATCCTGCATGAAACAGGAAGTCACTGAAAGAAATGTGATGAAAATGATGCTCTGAGAAGACCAGTGTATAGCTGCAGGATGCAGAAGTATTAACGGGCTGCTGCCGTAAACCAGGTGAGAGGCAATCCACACTTGAAGGAGGGTAATGTTGGCAGGAAAGGACAAATGGAAAACTTAGCAGGCATGGTCATTCTCTGGATTGCACCAAAGTCAACACTTAGGGGATCTACATTGGAGGGCAAGAAAGACTCAAAGATGACCTAAGGATTTTGAGCCTGGACGATGGGAAAAATAATGGTACCCCTAAGAGAAATAGGGATGCATATAGGGAACACTGGATAGAAAATAAAATGGTGCCAGGCATGGTGGCTCACAGCTGTAATCCTAACACTCTGGGAGCCTAGGCAGGTGGATTGCTTCAGCTTAGGAAGTTCCAGACCAGCCTGAGCAAGAGCAAGACCCTGTCTCTACTAAAAATAGAAAAAAATAGCTGGGTATTGTGGTGGGCACCTGTAGTCCCAGCTACTTGGGATGCTGAAGCAAGAGGATGGCTTGAGTCCGATAGTCTGAGGTTGCTGTGAGCTATGATGCCACAGCACTCTACCCAGGGCCATAGAGTGAGACTGTCTCAAAATAAATAAATAAATAGAAATTTAAAAAAATTTTTAAAAGGAAAAAAAATTGTGTTTTTTTTAATAAATACTCATCCAAGTGGATATCTCCTGGGACTACAGACGCGCCTATGGGAGAGGGCCAGGCCAAGAGCTCTGATAAGATGCCTGAAGGGAAAGGAGATTTGAGAGGTGGGGTACAGCTGAAGCCTTATGCTGGGTACCAGTCTCCAAGGGAGAGACTGCTCAGAGAGATGGATGGGAGGAGGGCGTCAAACACTGAGGCCTGGGGACTCCCCTAGATTAGAAGGCAAGATGACTGAGAAAATCTGGAAGCAAATCAACCTTCTCCAAAGGGGGATACTTTGATTCAATCCACTGTTCACAGCCACTAGATCTCACGCACAAATACAACGAAGTTCTGGCCAATGACGGTGGTCCTGTACCATTATATAGGAGCTGAAAAAGCCCCATCACCTAGTGAAGTCATAGCTGTCACAACAGTAGTAGTATAAAGTAGCTTTACTCAAACCTTTGTGGTAATGCTGGTATAAACACACTTACAACACTGGCATTCAGTATAAAAGTGCAGTACGGCCAGGCGTGGTGGCCTATAATCCTAGCACTGTGGAGGCCAAGGCAGGTGGATTGCCTGAGGACAGGTTCAAGGCCAGCCCCAGCCAAAGTAAGACCTCATCGCTAAAAATAGCTGGGCATTGTAGTGGGCATCTGTAGTCCCAGCTACTTAGGAGGCTGAGGCAAAAGAATTGCTTCAGCCCAAGAGTTTGAGGTTGCTGTGAGCTGTGATGCCAGAGCACACTACCAAGGGCAACATAATAAGACTCTGTCTAAAAAAAAAAAGTAAAATATTTATATACAGCTGTACAATGTGCTTATGTTTTAAGCTAAATGTTATTACAAAAGAGTAAAAAGTTTAAAATTTTTAAAAGTTTATAGGCAAACAAAGTTACAGTAGGCTGTTTTTTATTACTGAAGCAAAGGAAAAAAGTTAATAAATTTAGTGTAATCTGAAGGTACGATGTTTATAAAGTTTACAGTAGTGTACAATAATGTCCTAGGCCTTCACATTCTCTCATCACTCACTGATTCACCCACAGCACTTCCAGTCCTGTAAGCGCCCTACAAAGGTGTGCCATTTTTAAATCTTTTCTACTTTATTTTTACTGTACCTTTTCTATATTTAGATGTGTTTAAATACATAAACACTTACCATGTGTTACAACCACCTATAGTATTCAGTAGTCACATGCTGCACAGGCATATAGCCCAGGAGCAAAAAGCCATACCACACGGCATAGGTGTGCTGTGGCTTATACCACCTAGTTTTGTACGAGGACAATCTATGAGGTTTGCACAAATGCACAACAGTATTTCTCATAATGTGTCTCCATCTATAAGCAATTCTTCACTGTAATTGAAGACCCACATCCAAGGGACCCTAGTGGTCCTACCTTTAAACTTTTCCTGAGTAGACTGGGTTTGGGAAAAATAGGAGAGTTAAGTCAAGCCTCAATCCTTCAAAATGCCTTCTAGCTTCCCTGGTGGGTGCCAGCAGTTGAAATCAAGAGTTTTTTTTTTTTTTTTTGAGACAGAGCCTCAAGCTGTCCCCCTGGGTAGAGTGCCGTAGCATTACAGCTCACAGCAACCTCCAACTCCTGGGC